TCTTCCAAAGCTAATAAATTGTAATCCTGGTAATAAATGTCTTCAGAGTACAATGAACACGTGAACCAAAACACAGATAGAACCAGAACCAGATACAAAGGTATCATTTGGGAGATGAAATACTTCAAGAGTCAGAGAGAGAGAGAGAGACCTGGAGGTTGATATCACGCCAGACCTGTCCCCTAAAGCTCATATCAAGAGGATAACATCAGCAACATATGCCAGGTTGGCTAACATAAGAACGGCCTTTAGAAACTTGTATAAGGAATCTTTCAGAACATTATATACCACATATGTCAGACCAATCCTGGAGTATGCGGCTCCAGCATGGAATCCATATCTAGTCAAGCATAAGACTAAACTGGAAAAGGTTCAAAGGTTTGCCACCAGACTAGAACCCGAGCTGAGAGGTATGAGCTACGAGGAGAGACTACGGGAATTAAACCTCACTTCGTTGGAAGACAGAAGAGTTAGGGGGGGACATGATCACCACATTCAAGATTCTCAAGGGAATTGACAGGGTAGATAAAGACAGGCTATTTAACACAAGGGGCACACGCACTACAGGACACAGGTAGAAACTGAGTGCCCAAATGAGCCACAGATATATTAGAAAGAACTTTTTTAGTGTCAGTGGTTGACAAATGGAATGCATTAGGAAGTGATGTGGTGGAGGCTGACTCCATACACAGTTTCAACTAGTAGATATCATAGAGCCCAATAGGCTCAGGAACCTGTACACCTGTTGATTGACGGTTGAGAGGCGGGACCAAAGAGCCAGAGCTCAACTCCCGCAAGCACAACTAGGCGAGTACAACTAGGTGAGTACAACTAGGTGAGTACAGACCTTATGACATTTATAAGTAAAATCTGTCATCTAAAACATATCATTCTACAGTGCACTTGGGAGTACAGATACGTTCAGCATCATTTCATAATGTATTCCAATTTTACTATTCCAAATTTTATTATAAAAGTTTATGTTCATTACATTGGCTGCAATATTGGTGGTGCGCTTTGGTGAGGCTGAGAGGCAGGCAGGCGAGTCACCTGAGTGAGGTAATGGAGGGTAATGAAGGGAATGTGATTCACAACGTTACACCAGACCCGAGTAGTCTTACAACATTGTCCAGCGTCTACAGTCTTCATAACGACACAACCTTCAATAGCAATGCATTAAAACTCAACTTGCATAAAGAATGAAATAGCAAAATTTACGTGTGATTCAGTTACAGCGTACAGCACTAGGTTATACACCTCCATATATATATTACAACCACAAACCCGAACATAATATATTTACAGCCTTGCGAATAGGCCTAACTGCAATTTGTCTAAACATATGTAGACGGCATTAAAGGTGAATATATTATATACATTATATTATATATATATATATATATATACATACACACTTGCAGTTAAAAAATATATAAACACGAAACATGTGGCTTACTCAATTGTAAATCTTGCGTCATTTAAAACCATACGCACATAATCTACAGGTACTGTTCTATGTTGTTCAATATTTTTAAAATTTCGATGCGATCAGCCCTGTCATGTCTGGTTCGTAGTGTTGTTAGTCCTGTGGCTAACATCTATCCTGCTGCATCTATCCCATGCAGCAGACGCTCAATTAACATAAACTTAAGACACTGTCAGTTGAGAGGCAGGACCAAGGAGCCAAAGCTCAACCCCCGAAAGCACAACTGAGTATACAGAGTTGTATCACATAAGCTTCCATCAGCGAGATGAGCTTGGTCGTGACGCCTCCCAAACCCTTGCCGTGATTATGTACTCATCTAGTTGTGCTTGCGGGGGTTGAGCTTTAGCTCTTTGGTCCCGCCTTTCAAGTGGCAATCAACTTTTGTACAGATTCTGCAGCCTATTCGGTACTATCAAATCTTCATTTGAAACTGTATGGAGTCAGCCTCCGCCACATCACTGACTAATGTATTCCATCTGTTATCTTTGACACTGAATTTTTTTCTGATGTCTCTAGTTTCTAGTTTAGTTCATTAATTATGCACCCCATACCCATTTTGTGGACGGTAATGGAAAGGGTTACAGAGGCACATAATGGGCTCAGGGACTGAACCCCACAATTCGTTTAGCTAAGCAAGTTACACTCTTGATGAGCTAGTTACAAAATTCAGTATAAGTCGTCACATCAACAATGGGTTCGAGATCGATCACAAGTACAGTTTCTAAATTAAGCAACGGACATATGCGAAGAACTAGTGTCACAATTGATATGTTTGTCCTGCACACCGCCCCCCAACCCCCATCCAGTGGGCAGCGGTGGATAGGTTACAGTCACCTAGTTACTACCTACAGTTAGCAAACTGGGGATATATGGCTAAAATTTCTGGTAGTAGATCATTTTGAATTAAATATTTACACATTGCTGGAACATTGGTTATAGAATTGTCTCTGAATTCACGTATCTTTTCGCACTCCATCACATAGTGACGGAGGGTGTGCGAATAATTTTGTTGACACAGTTTACATTTGGTCAGGTCTACATCGGCAGATAATGAGACTTCCCAGAGATACTTGTAACCGAGTCTAAGCCGAGCAGTATTTTTGAGATATATACAAGAGTTGTTACATTCTTCTACAGCCACTAGTATGCGTAGGGTTTCGGGCAGGTCCCTGGAATACGATCCCCGCCGCGAAGAATCGTTTTTTCATCCAAGTACACATTTTACTGTTGTGTTAAACAGAGGCTACAGTTAAGGATTTGCGCCCAGTAAATCCTCCCCGGCCAGGATACGAACCCATGACATAGCGCTCGCGGAACGCCAGGCGAGTGTCTTACCACTACACCATGGAGACTGAACAGTAGTAACATCTAGAAGTCTGCTGATTTTATTGGATGAAACATAGATGTGTAGCTCATCTTGCATGATAGTATGATGATAGATGGAATTACTGATGTCGATTTCACTTTGCCTCAGATCTACAAGATTTTGTTGAAGTTCTCGGTATACTGCTGCTCTCAGATTGCTCATTGACAATCCAAGATTACACTCAACGTCTCCTTTAAAGACAGATTCTTTGGCTAACTCATCAGTTCTATCATGTATTCGGAGGTCAACATGAGATGGAGACCACATGAAATGGACTCTGTTACCATCAATGTGTACAAGTTTAATGTCTCTGTGGCTCAATATGTAAATCGTGACCATTGTTATTTGTAGTCTATTTATATATTATGCATCCCATACCCATCCTGTGAGTGGAAGTGGAAAAGGTTGTATAGGTTCATAATGGGTTCAGGAACTGAACTCTAAAATTCGTTTAGCTAAGCAAATTATGTGACGAGCTCATCGATGCTATAAGTTAACAAATATATCACCAGTATCTTCGTTTCATACTTCATAGAACTAACATCACTGTGACCTTAAAGAGTGTTTGTTAGTTGATAAAAAAAATTTTTACAATATAATTTGCCTAGCGTGCACCCTACACCCGTGTAGTGGGCGGCGGAGGCGGGGCTAGAGGAGGCGGGACATAAAAAGCAATTTTTCACTCCGTAGTCACTGATAGGTAAGCACTACCTAATTGTGCTTACCAGTATTTGAATGATTAACAAACTGAAAATATCTGGTTAACGTTCATCGCAGTAGATCTTTTGATTAAGATAGTTGCACATTTCTTGAACATTTATGATAGTTATATTTAAATTCAGAATTTTTTTTTACATTCCATCACGGAGCAAATAATTTTGATCAATACTTACAATTAGTCAAGTCTATATCAGCAGTTAGTGTAAACCCCCAGAAATAATTATAACCCAGTCTAAGCCGAGTAGTAGTAACATCTATGAGTCTGCTAATTTTACTGGATGTTCAAGTATGTTTATTGAGACACGAAAGAAATACATCCTAAAGGGATAGAGTAGCTTAGGCTATTTCTACCCCCCTTTACTGGATGATTGACAGGTATGTGGCTCGTCTTGCAGGGCAGTGTAATGATGGATGGAATAACTCGTGTAGATTTAACGTGTCAGGTCAACAGGGTCTTATGAAGTTCTTGGTGTATTATTGTTCTCAGGCTGCCTACAGGCAATTATATGTTGTAATCATCTATATCCAACTTCAGACACGAGCACGTTACAATCGTTTCCTAAACAATTAAGCGTAATTATCGATAAAGATTCGCTTACAATTAAGATGTCAAGTTTGGAGACAATACATTTGAGTGCGAGGAGTATGACATGTAGTTGTGTCTGAAGGGTAGAGGCCCAGTTGTTGTTTATTTATACAGACGCTCCACTCAATATGGGCCATCACTACCGTTCACAGAATGGGTGTTGCGTGCACTAATGTTCACAGGAAGGGTATGGAGTACACTAACTACTGTTTACAGGACGAGTACGGAATGCTCACAACTACAGCCACACTAATACCTTGTATGAGGTGCTACATCACCCTAGGTATGTTTGCAAGCAATAAGCAGTAATTATAAAGAAACACGCACTAATATGATCCTGGGATCCGATAACACTGCTCATCAAATTTCCAACATGGTACGTTTTAAATGCATGAGATACGTGAGGACTTGTCTGTGTTTTCCCAATAGGGACAGAAATGGTTGGGATTGTTTCCTTTCAACCAATGTGTCTACTCGCCTATAGAAGTCATACAGGCACACGAGAGTTAGGCAACTGTTGTGGTTTGCATCATGAAAATGGTCGGTGTTGGCCCATGGAGGACCATGATATATGTCTAATTAAAAGCCTTCCTGTCTTCTGACAACTGGAATTAATTTAATACAGGAGGTAAGAAACACGTGAGCCCACGGGTAAGACTTTATCTCTAGTCGGTGAGAACCGTCAAGAACACGACTGATAAGAGGCAGAGAAATATTTTAGTTTTCTGGCACTGCCACTTCTTGGCACTCCTTATGGGCCTGCCAAGTAAAATGTTTGCCAGCTCTGGCATGCACGTGATCTATATTTGACAAATCTTACAAAAAACAGCTGGTGAACTCACTTGATTCATTGATTCCATTTCTGTTCTTAAATTTTTGATCAAGTTATAATCCAGTTATACGGAAAGGGCATTTGTAGTGATGTAATCGCCGTGAACTAGCGGCCGCCGCGCCCACAACCACCACCTGAGGTGCACTAACAAGCAGACAGCGGCGGGCGACCACGTGAGCCCCGACCAGTTGCCAGCGAGCATTATGGTGACTGCGGAGGTCTGTAAGTCTCATCCCCGGCTTCTGCGCACCTTGTCACCCTCGAGATGTTGTATAGATAATTTGATTTGTTGCTAATATTTACGTAGAATACCATGGAAAGATAACTGCAGAATGTTTTAGAAGTAAAAATCCACTATGGATTTTTACTGTAAATGTGAAGAAGTGCTACGTATACTTCCTGTGACGTAGCTCTGACGCAGCCCCGGACATGGAGAGTCATCACCTGTCCCTCATCATATTTTGACTGTTTACCGGGAGTGAGACAATCAAAATACCCAACATTATTTGATATGCTGCAATGTTACATCAACAGTCTTTAACAGTATCAATAATTAACATCCTTATTAATCATAAATTAATTACTTGAGACTATATTGTGTAAGTAAACCTTACTCATATTTTACCTCCTCTAACACTATATATATATATATATATATATATATATATATATATATATATATATATATATATATATATATATATATGTTCCCTCCAATGCGTTATGTGTGGTTTCCTCCGAGGCTATGGGTCCCCGTTCTTCCAGCCAGAGGTGGTACTCTCTTCCTTATATATATATATATATATATATATATATATATATATATATATATATATATATATATATATATATATATATATATATATATATATATATATATATATATGTCGTACCTAGTAGCCAGAACTCACTTTTTGGCCTACTATTCAAGGCCCGATTTGCCTAATAAGCCAAGTTTTCCTGAATTAATATATTTTTTCTAATTTTTTTCTTATGAAATGATAAAGCTACCCATTTCATTATGTATGAGGTCAATTTTTTTTTTATTGGAGTTAAAATTAACGTAGATATATGACCGAACCTAACCAACCCTACCTAACCTAACCTAACCTATCTTTATAGGTTAGGTTTGGTTAGGTAGCCGAAAAAGTTAGGTTAGGTTAGGTTAGGTAGGTTAGGTAGTCGAAAAACAATTAATTCATGAAAACTTGGCTTATTAGGCAAATTGGGCCTAGAATTTCATAGTCGTAAAACTATGTCGCATACATAAATATGTCGTCATGCATAACTATGTCGTAAGTCGTCATACATAAAATGTTAATTGTTATTAAACTGAAGCAGCCATCCGGATGTCTACTAGTTGCGTGACTGCACAGTTTCGTATATTGATCAGTAGCAGTGTGTAGTGCAGCATGCGGGCGGCCACTACTACACACTGGCTCCACACCCATGCAGCCTCTCCTCCTGACATTACCAGTACGATTTTGAACTTCACAGCTGCTCACTCCTATTTAATCAATATTTCATTACGTTTATACATACTGAAAGGTCGTTTTTTTTAACTGAAACTTACAAAATTAACAAAAAATTAAATTGTAGTCAGGAGTGGTTGATGTAGATCTGACGATTAATATAAACTGTGTCAGCAAAATTATTCCCACAGCCTGTATCAGTTTGTGACGGAATGTGAAAAATGAATGCATTTAGTAATAACTCTATCCCAAATGTCCAAGAAATATGTATTTCTTTCAAAACATTTTATAAACACACAGCCAAATTGTGTAACAGGAAGAGGTCTTGGACACAAATTTGTTCCATGCAAAATGTAGAGGAATCAGCTGAGCACACAGACATCACAATAGCGTAATGCATCAAATGAACAAATCAACAAGGGCCGTGACGAGGGTTCGGACCTACGTCTGAGAGGATCCCAGACGCGCCTTAATCGACTGTGTCTCGGAGAGGCTGCAAGATCAGAGTAAGGTCAGTAGAACTTCCGGTTGCAATTCTTTTATCATGTTGTAGTTCAGTTGATTAAGGCAGCGTCTGGGATCCTCTCGGACGAAGGTTCGAGCCCTCGTCATGGCCCTTGTGGATTTGTTCATCAGCTGAGCGTTCGTCAAATAAAATAAGCTGCCTCAGCTTATAAGGTAAATTAAATGAAATAAGCATTCCTCAAATAAGTAGCTGCCTCACCTCATTGCCTTACTGCTACATAGCCTTCCCGGCTTGGTGCCTTCTTTTGATAATTACTTATTGTTACACACAGCCAAATTGTGTAAGAAGAAGAGGTCTTGGACCCCCTACTTCCCTCTCTCTTTTTTAACAGGTCATAATAGTCCATATAGTCATAATTATAGGTTTAAGCATTCAATGAGAAAAGTTTTTGAAGTTTTTACCCTTATCCTTACCTAACATCATTTGTGCAGGATAATTTTTTTTTATGTCTCACCCAGATTGAATTTCAAAATAAAACCAAACAAAATAAATTAAAAATGGGTATGTATAGCTAAGGTACACCCCTAGCTATACTTATTACTAGGTGAACAGGGGCATTTGGTGATAGAAATGCTCCCACCAGCCCGGGATCATCACCTCCCACATAAATATAGTAAATATAGAAATATTTACTACAAGTTTCAAGCAGAGAATGCATATATATAGTGAACACGAAGGACACCTCTTGACGAAACTCGCCAACTATATTGTTAATTTATAGTAAAATCGATCCTCCATGTTGTGTAGTAGAGAAAAATTGAGTTATATCCAGTTTACGTAAAGCTACGATCGAGTGGTCCAGATCGAGCGTCCTTAGTTTGAGGCGGTGTACTTATGAAGATTTTCCTTCTTAAATACCTGCCTGAATACGCTACGAAGATGCTAAGCAGAAAAACATTCGTAAGTACATTTCTCAAATTCCTTGAGAAATCCCAAGGCACTCTTGCCCCAGGGGCCATGCGTCTCAGACGCTATGGGAACAAAGAGGTATTGACCTTCCAGTCGCCTGTACTTGAGTGATTTTGCTGTTTCCCTGTGGTTGGCCGCCCCACCTGCTTGATCAGCTCCGAAGTGTACATAGGTGTCAGCCAGGGTGGATACACATGTGTAGTCCCACACCCACTGTCTACCCTCCTTCCATGAGTATATGGTGATGCCATCAGGGCGAAGTGTGGGGAAATCCGGGTTTTGGACCCCTAAGATGCGAGGTTCTCTCTCCGCTGGGCACCTAGCTGAGACGAGGCTTCTCTTGATGATGTCATTGACCTCGTTGTGTCTTGCATGCCAGCCCTTTGTGCTTCCGCAATGCAACCCATGCAGTCCGTATTGGTCTGCTTCCACCCTGTTACAAATACACTTGTATTCAGTGTGAATTGGGGCACCAAGGCGGAGGGCCACTGCTACACGAAGGGATTCTGGATCTAGGTGCGTGCCCATTGCTGACATGGGTACTGCCAGGAGGAAGTCTCCTGCATGGGGGGCACGCACTGCTCTGAGGCGGGCTTTCTCCTTGTCTGATGTTGCGACGCTGAGCATGGCATCAGCTACTTTTTCCACTAGAGGGTGGTCCCAGCCAGACTGGGACCACTGGGACTATATAATATATATTATATATATATATATATATATATATATATATATATATATATATATATATATATATATATATTATAGTTAGTTTAAAGCACAAGGTAGGAAACTATGAAGATGAACTATTAAACTATGAAGATATGTATATATATATATATATATATATATATATATATATATATATATATATATATATATATATATATATATATATATATGTATATATATATGTATATATATATATATGTATATATATATGTATATATATATATGTATATATATATATATATGTATATATATATATTATGTATATATATATATATATGTATATATATATATATGTATATATATATGTATATATATATATGTATATATATATATGTATATATATATGTATATATATATATGTATATATATATATATATATATATATATATATATATATATATATATATATATATATATATATATATATATATATATATATATATATATATATATATATATATATATATATATATATATATATATATATATATATATATATATATATATATATATATATATATATATATATATATATATATATATATATATATATATATATATATATATATATATATATATATATATATTATATATGTAATATATATATAATAGTTCAGAGTACTATATATTTCCACAAGATAGTTTCCTATCTTGTGCTTTAAAGGTAAGGTCTTCCGACATGAGTACACCCAGATCCTTTACATTGCCTTTTCGTTCTGTTATGATTTGCCTGAGTTTTGTACGTGGTTTCCGTTTTTATATTTTCATTTTTTCCATAGCGCATGAGCTGGAACTTATCTTCGTTAAACACCATATTATTTTCTGTAGCCCATAGAAAGACCTGATCTACATCTGACTGGAGGTTCGCCGTGTCCTCTATGTTGCCTACTCTCATGAAGATCCTAGTGTCATCTGCAAAGGATGGTTCCTATAGGTTGTGTTCTTGTCTATGTCCGATATGAGGATGAGAAAAAGTACTGGAGCAAGCACAGTATCCTGGGGGACTGAGCTCTTCACGGTTGATGGGCTGGATTTTATTTCGTTGACTATTACACATTGGGTTCTGTTGGTCAGGAAATTGTAGATTCATCTGCCTATTTTTCCGGTAATTCCTTTTGAACGCATTTTATGTGCAATAACACCATGGTCACATTTATCAAAAGCTTTTGCGAAATCTGTGTAAATTACATCAGCGTTTTGTTTGTCTTCCATAGCATCTAATGCCATATCATAGTAGTCCAGCAACTGCGACATGCAAGAGCGCCCTGTTCTGAAACTATGTTGTCCGGGGTTATGGAGATGCTGTGATTCCATGTATTTTGTGATCTTACTTCTTAGCACTCTCTCAAAAAATTTTATGATGTGCGATGTTAGTGCTATCGGTCTGTAATTTTTTGCCTCTGTCTTATTTCCTCCTTTATGAAGTGGTGCTATCTCTGCTGTTTTTAGTATATCAGGAATAACGCCAGTATCTAGGCTTTGTCTCCACAGAATGTGGAGGGCCTGCGATAGTGGTTTTTTACAGTTCTTTATGAATATGGAGTTCCAAGAATCAGGCCCTGCAGAGTGCATAGGCATACTGTTTATGGCTTCTTCAAAATCCAGTGGGGATAGGGTGACGTCTGATATATAATTTGATGTTGGTATCGTATCCATGAAAAATTCATTTGGGTAGGTTCGATATTGGTCTATAGTTGTTTATATCTGCCGGATTACCTCCTTTATGAACTGGCGTTACTCTTGCTTTTTTAAGGATATCAGGGAAGGTATGACACTCAAGGGATTTGTTGTTTGCGACACCTATAGCAGAGCTATAGGTGGCGCAAAGGCATGGGAGGCGCTCTTGTATACAATGGATGGGATTTCACTGATGTTCCCAGCTTTGGTTTTTAGTGAGTGTATGATGGACACAATATCTGTCGGGCTGACTGGTGAAAGGAGAAGATAGTTTGGATAGCTGCCTGAGAGATATGTGTTGATATGTGGCCGAGTCTGTGGGATTTTACTTGCAAGGTTAGCACCAATCGATGAAAAGAAGCTATTAAATTCATTCGCCATTTCTAAGTCAGATGACTGTGTAAGGCCATCCTTAGAGAGTGTTATCTGGTTGTGGGAGTGTTGTTTAGTTCCTAGGATATTAGAGATGGTATTCCATGTGCTTTTCATGTTGCCTTTTGCTTCTTTGAATCTAGTCTCATAATATGAAAGTTTTGCTTTTCTTATGATACTGGTAAGCACTGATGAGTACCTTTTAACTACTTCCTTTGAAACTAGGCCACTCCTAAATTTCTTTTCATATTCATGTTTTTTGTTGATTGATTTAATTATGCCACTTGTGAGCCACGGGTTATTTTTTCTTTTATCAGTTACTTGTTTGGTAAGGAGGGGACAGTGAGTGTTGTAGAGGCTTAGAGTTTTGGAGAGAAAGAGGTTAGTTGATGAGTTTATATCCTGTGTATTATTAAATTCAGATTCCCAGTTAATATTGTGAAGTGCATTAGAGAGATTGCCTAAAGCTGATTCACTAGCCTGAATGAGAGTTTCTTGGTTTCTGGTGGTGATGTGTTCAAGTTTGCTATGAGGAAGGTAGGATAGTGGTCAGTTGTTGTCATAAATTACCCCAGATGTAAGGGGAGCTGTTATATTAGTCCATAGGTGATCCAGGGTAGTGGCAGATGTTTGACTCAGGTGGGCTTGGTGATTGTGGGGATTAGCATACAGGAGTGCATGCTGTTACGGAAATAGTCAACTTGAGGGTCAACTGTTGTTGACCCTCAACAGCTCATCAACTTGAATAGTCAACTGTACATACATACAAGAGTTACAATCTTGTACACCCACTAGCACACATAGCATTTCAGGCAAGTCTTTAATCCTAATTTTCCCAGGAATACAACCCGCCAAATCGTTTAACAACCAGTGATTAGTGATTATCTCTATTCATTGCTGGGTGAATAGAGGCTCCAAGTAAATCCTCCCCAGCCAGGATATGAAGCCAGGCCAAAGCACTCTCGAAACGCCAGGCAAGTGTGTTACCACTTTGCCATGGGGGACTACAGAGTTGTGATATGCACTTTTGTGCCCCCACATATAAGGTCGTGTATTTTCCATATTTAGAAGCAATTGCCACACATCTGACCATATGTGGAGTTCACGTAGGTCTCTCTTCTTAGAGGAAGGTGTCATAACACTACGTATACACAGGATGTAAAAAAAATATGATGAATGTTTTGAGTTTATTAACTGACTAGTTGACTGATACATCATCCCAAAGAGCCCACAGTTTTTGGGCTACAGTAATTACACAGTACAAATTAGTAACTTATATGTCTATAATATTAAAATTAATCTCTTTGGTTTATCTTCTGAAGGTTTAATTCACTAGGGAAGCTTTGGTCACAACCTAAGTGGCTAGAATACTGTACATGAAGAAACTATTTGAAATTAAATTGTCTGGAATTATTTAAAAAATGCCTTAATAATTGTGGATAAAAGCTGAATAATGCAAAAAAAGAAAAGTACACGAGGTAACCAGCTGGAAATATCTGACTACTGGTAATAATTTTCTTCATGTCAGTCTACACAGTCTACATGCATTTCAACTACATGCATTTCAACAAAATAGCAACCATACCAACAAATTTAATGCTAAGAAATAAATATGAAATTGTCTTCACAGAGTAGATTCAAGATCACTACCCACATATTAATATGTGAATGCACAAACTCTCCCTTTCTTTCTTTAATACAAGTGCACACACACACACATGCATATGCACATGCAAATATCAAGAAATACATCATGTATACTGTTGCAAATAAGGATCATCACAATAAAATAAATATAATATAACCACTTACTCAGCTACTGAGTGAATCAAACCTTTTGGCTAGAAATTAATCTCAAGGAGCTTATGTGTACACACACAAAAAAATCTACAGTATTTACAAGCATTTTCTCATTTTAACCACTGGAGTGTTGGATCTAATCTTGCTCTTAAAACAGCATGAACTCAACAGGAGTTCAATTAAAAATTACAATTGTTTGACACTACTTTTCCTTTGTTATGTTCACAATTTAACTGCAAGGTTGTCAACAAATAAGGAGATGAATGATTACAATCAGGAACTATAGGGTTGGTTCATCACAGGTCACCAAAAGTAATTATTGTTTGCTTTGGGTTGTGTGAAATCATGTTTCAAGCTTCCTACACCAAACAATATATGTAGAAGGAAAAATTATTATAATTTAATGAACTGGTTGTATCAAATTATTATTTCTTACTTCTATGTAAAGAATGACTTCACAATTACATTTGTATATGTTATTTAATGTTATTATTTGGCTTTGTTCTGCCTCTAGGGTTACTGTACTATATTTAATGAGGAATAGCAAATACAAAAATATGTTTGTTCTATTTAGGTTGAGAAATCAACAAAATATACCATATATTTTACCACACTACAATAATAGTACTGTAAACTCTAATTACAGCCAGAGCCTGAAGGACTCTCTTACAATACTCTACCATACCACATGTACAATAATTTCACTGAATGTTTTACTCTGACAGTTACACCAATGATCATTTGGTTTGTTCTAGGTTTAGAAAATCATCACACTCTTCCATGGTCTTTTTTTTTTTTTTGCTCTTAATTGCCATACTTTTTCCTTAAATATATAAATATTTTTCCTTATCTTTTTGATTTTCTTCCTGGTGTATAATTTAAGAGAGAATATTTGACACACCATGATGCTCAGCAAATTAAGTGGCCACCATGATTATCTCTTAATGCAGGCACAACTCTTCAGGAAATATGAAGCTCACTGTTAGACATACATACATAAAAATATAAGGAAAATGTCAGTAACTATACTATTTTTGTAACATAACTCTACATATACCAGCTTGGCAAAAATGAGAAATAAAACAGACATATTCATTGATAAACATATTAGAAATGAGTTTTGATTCATTAAGTGCACATATTATAATTTTAGGGGGACAGTGAGCACTTAACACAGCGATGTAACAGAGAGCAAATACTGTAAAGTACATGGTTCTAACCATTTATTAAATATTTATTTACACTTACACTAATAGTATTTAAGAAAATTACATGTGTTACATGTTTAAAGTGAGGAAGTTCTAAGTGTGGTTTTAGCACAAATTCATAACACTCCAATGGTCAAATAAGAACAACATGGCATTCAACACCACTAACTATTCACTGATGCTTCTAGATACAGTTATGCAGGATTTGACCATCTATCTCACACAGGATAGATGATTAATGCTTTAAGTCTCAAATGTGAACAGCACCAGTCACACGTGTCGCATTTCCTGACTAGCCATGTAGTCTGGCTCAAATATAAGAAAATAAGTATTTGCTTTGATAAATTATTTAGAGATTATATATGCTAAAGAAATATTTTGTATTGATCATAAAGATTTTAATGGCAATTAGTTCTCTGAGATATAAGGCTATTCAAATAATTACAGCAAATGTGTTATCAGATTATGCATCTTATTCAGAGAACACTACAAAAATTATGTGCCTGTTAGAATATTTACTAAGATGATCTTTCCTGGCAAAATATGTTCACTGAAGTGCAGATTAAACATTAGTGCTAGTTCAAAAATATGAGGAACCTGTGGCACTATTAATAGGAATTTTAATAGCAGTAATTACTAAAGATGTATTAGATGGGATCAACTTCAATATTTACACATATGACATGGAACCCTACAACACAGACGTGGTAACGCCATAGTTTGGCATTACAGGGAAGCACAGCTGCACAAAAGCAGCAGCTACAGCAGCCAAAAGTCTATGCACATGTAGCTTGATGTTGATTTTAAATAAATCGTAAGTGACAAGAACTAAATAACAAAAAATATAAAGTATTGTTTTTTCAAGGAAGTGAAGTAACATTTGATGTATTCCACACAAATAATATCTAGTAATATTAATACAGTTTAATAATCACAAATCTAAATACACAACAAATTACAATATATCAGAAAAGTGCCCTAAATATATATTATATAATTTTATGAACTCTCTCATAATTTTAAGACTAAGTAAGTTTAAAGAAATTAAATTTGACACATCACTCAGATACTTTACTAAGACATCAGAATTTTGTGCACACCCTTCAGTTCTGCTGGAATATAAGAATTACCTTAAAAATAACACTTTGCCATGGAGGGTGTGAGACGGCAACAGGTATGTAAAGCTGTGTCGGTTGTCACAAGAAATTGCCATTTCTAAACCATTCTGCACTTTTAATTATCAACTGAGTATGTTTCTTTAAAAATAATGATATTTATTATTTTAAATATTTATTTTGCAAATGAAATGAATGACCATTCTTTAATGAATTATTTCTTACTCTTATTACCTTCATAAATACCAAGACTAAACAATCACAAGGTTTTTGTCAAACAAGGTTACCTAGCTTTTAGCCTGCACTGCAAGCTTCCCATCAATTTACAGTAATTGTTTTCTAAATAAAACACATGTTCATTAAATATTGTTTGCAACACAGTAATGGAAAAAAATGTTCCCTTCCTCTCTATGTTGACTTATCACATGAGCATACAACGCAGACTCTCAATACATTTTCAGACCTTACACAAGCACTCGCACAAATATTTCAAGCATATCTTTATAACGAAGAGTTAACATAGATTTCAGTCTGATATTAAACTTAAAAATAATTAAATGAGCGAAAAAAATGAAGAATAATTATTGCTGTTTCACCTATGATAACCTTTATACAAGAGAAAGAGATCAACTACTGTAGGCCTTTCCTGAATTCTTAGCATTCAAACAAAATATACATATATCTTTAGCTAAATATTCTTATAATCTCAAGTTAGCCACAATTATATTCAACCAAATACAAAACTTGAAAAAGCAAGTACAGTACAGTATAGTTAGTGCACTGTAGTAATCTCTGCACAACACATGGCATACAGCCCATGGCTTACCTCTACAGTATCAAGACAAATTATATTGAGAATTGGTCCACATGCAGCAATCAAGTGCAGAGCAGTGTTTAAAAATTAATCACATTAAACTTATCACAAGTTAGACATTCACAATTACACACACGCAAAACTCTCATTTGGCAAAGAAAAGACTCACTGTGGCCTTTGGTTTAAAACCAACATGATGATACAATCTAGAAATTATTATCAGACTTTCTAATAGTATTCACTAGAAGTACATTTATGAAAAATCATAATAAATATACATAAGTTTTTACAGTAAAGATATTCAATATCCAATTGAAATGTTTTATCATCATGAAAGGTCAAATTTTGGGGGCATATAGTTCCTGTTAAATGATTAATGAGAGGATGTAAAGTACACAAAACTAGCATGTGTAGCACATTGTTTACCTCTCTCATCAGTGCTTGTATAAACTTTTTCTTTTATAAATTCTGTACAACCGATGCTGCATCTCCTCCCTCAATATTTTTACACTGGATGTCAATTTAATATTTTTGTAAATGCAGAGACTTTAGGACAGCATTTTATAATGGAGAACAATATATGTTTACAGTATTCTTTATAAATTTCTCCCAAATTAACTTGAGAATTTCTTTTACGTCCAAATGAATATCTTGGTCACTTCTAAATTTTCTTGTATCCCTTTATGGTTGAGTGTATCATGCAGACACAAGGGCAGATCAGGAGACCTTCTACCGCAGGAGGTGCAGAGTGATAAGTAGTGTGGCATGGAGTGCCAGGAGTCGCTTAATGAGGCCACCTGACACTGATGTAGAGCTAGAGCCTTCGTCTGCTAGGACAAAACATTAAAAGAATTAGAAACTAATACATACTCATGCAACAAAACTAAATTTAGTAAACTCGTGAGCCAAATAAACAGAACAAAATACAACCAACATGCATATACTATAACAAACAGGCAAGCAAATTTTGTTACATACAGATTCTGAAGTATTCATTGTGATTGTCTTGACTTTGTTCTCATAATTTTGAATACGAAGAAAAATTACTAATTTTATTTGTATAAAAAATGGCTTAATAATGCTTTCACCCAAACATACCCATAATTTATAGAGGACTAACCAAACTACCATTTAATTATTAAGATACAATGTAGCAAAGTGTCCACACTATTCATACTTAAGGGCGAGCGGCGGTGGCTGCGAATTCTGTTCACCTCCAGCAAGGTCAACGCCACGCAGCTCCACCATCTCGCCCCACGTGGTCCATGACCCGGAGTAGCACAGATGCTTAAAAGGGATTTCAGAAGTCTAGTCCCAGCTCAACATGGACACGGCCCCAACTTCTGTGGTTCACGACATCATCCTCAACGAAACTCCTACCGGGCGACCGGAACGGAATCTTGTGTTTGACGCCTGCCACCCCAAGGTAATGTTTTGTTCCTCTCAGTTTGACGCGTTCCACGCTCCCCCATCCCCTATTCATGCCGCCCCTGGTGAGCTACTGACGTGTGCCAAGCGTCTGTGTAATCTGCACTATTTTCCATGGCCTACGTGCCATTTTAACGGCCTATGCACCCTCTTTACGACCTACGCTCCATTCTCAATGGGCCCCACACCAGTCTACGACCCACATGCCATTCTCTCTAGAGTTCGAGATTAATTCTTTAGCCTACGTGATATATTCCCAAGGCATACGAGTTTCCTCTATGACTGGGCTCCGTCCCTCCTCCGACCCTGCAGACGAGGCGGCAGAGGGCGGCGTTAAACACAACTGGTCCCGGTACGGCAGTGGTGCAGGAGGAGGAGCCTTGGAGGGGCCTGCTGGCAACAGCCCGCTTGCCCCCCATTTCCAAGGACTCTAGCAGATAAGCCAATGTTACTTTTCCTACGACTGTAGTTTTAACAAGTCTGGTGTTTCCTACCATTTTGCAGTATATTTATGCTGCAATATATTCTCCTCCCATTTACTGTTGACTTGCATCCTCAAGGACACCTCATGCAGCCCCCAAGGAATGTCCCACCCCCACTCTGTGCCGACAATACTTCCTTCTCTCTAGCCCCATTAGTTCCACCACAACATGGTTATATGTGCCCCTTTAAATTTATTTACCACAAATTTATTATTTTATCTATTTATATTTCATTACTTCTCATTATTTTAATCTCCTCCCTCATTTTAAAGGCATGCAGTATTATTCACCACTCGTACGGTTCCATACTTATCCGCAGTTATGCGGTGTTCAAAAATTTTTTTTACCTGAATTCTTAGGCTTGTATGCTGGGGAGATTTATTAACTCCTTTATTTATTAAAACATATCCCCGGATTACTTATCACAATTTGGCATTCATTCAGGACCTCTTCACTTAATTTAATGCTGTTATTATTGAGGCTATTAACATTTGCAGCACTAGTGCTGGGCATTTAAGCTGCCCCTAGCTAGAAGTAGCAATATCCCTGTCTTTTCCCCCCATCCCAGTGCCATTTCTTTGTACGCCCACCATTTCCCTACAGTTAATCCCTAGTTTTCTCTATGTCCTACATGGGTTACAATTTTGGATGCCCTATACTTACCCTTAAGTTACCTGCAGTGTTAACATGTCCTACCACCACGGTGATTAGAAAATAATGCTTTGTTTTCGTTTGATAGGGCAGGGACACCCACGCCCTGCGTGACGAAGAAGACCGCGAGGCCTACGACTACGCGTGGCCGACGACAGGGCAGCACACGGACTCAGCCGCCCAGGACGAGGACAAAGCCAGCCCACTACGCCTCGCTGACTACAAAGGGTACGTCCGATGACTTTGACTCCAATGCGGATCCCTTGGTGACTACCCAAACTAGGGCTCTGGGCAGAGACGCGAGACTAGGTGACAGCACTACGACTACAGTTCTACCTCATCAAGCGACGATCAACGGGTGAGCATGTTTCCCCCACCCTCCACCCAACCCATCCTCCGAATTAACAATAGATTTAATACTAAGTGTAATAAGTACACTTTCTTACTGTCATAAACAGTGCATAATTGCACTTATTGGGCTGTTACATTGACCCAACCCCCTCCCCCGATTTAATTCTCCTCGTTTTCTGTTATGACACTCAGAATTTTAGGATGAAGTTTTCAATTTCAATTTGCAATACACAAGTTTTAAATATCAGGAATTTCTTTTTCAGGTTTATTAAACAATATAGATTTTATACAAAATTTTAAAATTTCCTGAGTTACTTTACAATTTATTGATATATTTTAGTTTTGTTTTATTAGTTTTATAAAACTAATATCAATATAGCTATAGGTTAAGTACTAATTGTAATTAAGAAGCAATAAAATTATTATCTTCAAAAACTAAGACGATTAGGTGAGGTTGTGGTTTTCTATTCAGTTTTTCAGGTAAACTCAAATATTCACAATATATCTGACAGTACAATTTAATACTAAGTGAAAATAAGTACAATTCCTAACTGCTATGAATAGTACATAATTGCACTTATTTGTCTCCTTACATTTACCACCCCATTTTTCGAGGACGGGCTGCTCCACCTCCTAGCCCTGGCCCCCCATGGGCATGACAGACCAGGACATTCCCTTCCTGGGGACGCACGTCCCACTATCTCAAGAAGATATGGGCCAACAACTACATAGACCTACGGGATCTGCTGGCCTACGATCAAGACGCTGAACCCACCAAGCTTCGCCCCCCAGGTGAAAAACAGTTGAAACGGGGCCTGGCGGTTCTTTGTGTATGCATTCTTATGAATAAAAGTTATTATTATATTACTATATATAGTTACTTGCCATTGTAATACTCTGCATATATATATATATATATGTTGTCCTTAATTGATATCATATTCTACTACATAATTGTTATTCTTCTGATTCTAATGATATTGTATTTAGATGCAATAAGTATCTAGTATCATAATCATCACTATTACCAAATTTCACACCTTCAATGCTTGGAAGGCATCAGCCTGAAAGAAACAAAAGAGCAATACTGTATAGGAAACGAAGAAGATATACAGCACAGTATGCAAACTGTATACCCAAAGTTATTTCCATCCTTTCGCCATATCTTTGACCCTTCAAAAAGGTCAGATATAGTACAAACAAGAAGCAATGGTCTCAAGCTGTGAACAAACCATAATGCAGGATAGAAAGCAGGAAATGCTTTTTCACCTATATAAACATTACATGGAATCACATTGTAAACACATGGAATCACTTACCCGCCAAATCTGCAAATGTCAAAACACTGCTAAGTTTTAAAATCAATCAGGACAAATGGAAGGGGGGGGGGGACTTTTGACAAGTCGCTGGTTTCCTGTCCTCGTCATGACCACTAGAGAAAGAGCGGCCCTCGGGTAAATTCTCTCCATCTCTCTTTTGTCCTCCCTAACATTCCCTCTCCCCAAATCTCACCTTTCCCAATTTCTCATCTCCATTTTTCTCACCCCCCCCCCTCTCCACCTTTCTTCCCTCCAGTCTTTCCCAGCATCCCTCTCTACTTTTTTTCCCCTCTTAACCCAACCTTAATGAATCCACTTTCACCATTTTCAAGCAAACCATGAAAATATTGTGGAAACAAGCATCAAAGGTCTACAGAAAACACATGCCCAACTTTATTTCAGATTTGATGAAAATTGTAGAGGGCTTGTAATAAATGCCAAAATTTCTTAAAGCATTGCACTTGGGTCAACCCTGACTGGCCTTCAAAATTTACATACCGCCCCATGTGTGAAAGTTGTGGGAGGCTACAAGCGTCTGGCTTCCTACTTCACACACACACAAAAACAGACACCCTATTTTAGATATAGATTTTAAATTGTGTCAAATTATTTTAGATGCCTATTTTATAACATATTAATGAGAATGTTTTCTGTAATACTTCTGATTAGCATCAATTGTAAAGCCTTCCTGTAATGACTAACCAGTAGATGTCACAAGGCTTCCTTCCTCTGGCCGTTCCCGAACCTCCTTCACTTGAGCAGTAGGATCTTGCTGGCTGTGCTCATCTGAACTGTGATATAATGTTGCTATGGTTGCCGTGCACTGTCAAGGAAACAAACACCATGTTAGAAAACATATTGAATAATACAAATACAAATATTTATTCAGGTAAAGTACATACATACAAGGTGAAATACAAAAGTTGATGGATTCATAGATAGAGCTAGTACATACAATGCCTAAAGCCACTATTACGCAAAGCGTTTCGGGCAGGAAAAACACTAAGACTAAAACTTAATGCTAACTTAGATTAAAGTATAAATTGTGTTGTGAAAAAATCAGAAAAAAATAAAAAAAGAGGGGAAAACATGGCAGAAAAAAGCAAAAATACAATTTGGTCAACAAACAACATTGTTAAAAATCGTAGACATGGGTTGACATTTTCAATAAATTATCTACCTTGATTGTTCACTAATCCAGGGGCTTTCCTTGGGGATCAATTCATGGACAATCTTCCATAAGTATTTTAGTCATTAACTAACACCCTATAGTACAGTACTTTCATGAATGTATGAATGAAAACTACTTGAAATGATTCAATTATCATTTTTTTTAAGTGCCTCTTCTCTTCTAGTGTTAGTGTAGGTGCCACATGTTTGCTTGTACACCCACATATGCGGTACTGTCGTTACCTTGATGGCTTCCTATAACAACCTCATGCTTTCACTTTATTTAGCTTATTAACAGGACAAGCTAAAGCATTTTACTATTTTTTTTCTTTCTTCCTTCTTAGGGTTGTACTCCATCATAAATGCTTAATATATCTAAACAAATCTTAAATATGTTATATCTATGTTCCATCCTCTCAGCCTACTATCCCAGTCGATGTTAGCAAAGAACTCCCGAACTCCTGATAACTTCCTCACTGCACACGTAAAATAATTGACAAAACCTTTATCACATTATTCTGCAGTTTTCTGGTTGCTGGAATGTTGTCTTAACTAAACATTTATGCTATACCATTCTACAACCTTTTAGTAACATTATTGAACATTGTGGTAAGGTTTAAGGTTTCCTTTCATCCCTCATTTTTTCTCCTTGTTGTACCACAATACATATTACATATCTAGCACCAAGTGGTCACTTTTACCTATCAGTGTTAGATATTGTTAATCACGCCTTTGATACTGTTAATCCCTGGCCTTTGATACTGTTAATCACGATTACCTCTTATGTAAACTCCATCATTATGGAATCCGAGGCCATGCACTGGACTACAGTATATCCAATCCTATCTTAGTGAAAGACACCAATGTGTAGCCATCAATAATATAACCTCTCCCATTCTACCAATAACCGTTGGAGTGCCACAGGGCAGCATCTTGGGACCTCTTCTATTTCTTATATACATCAATGATCTGCCTAATGTCTCTAACATTCTGAAACCTATTTTGTTTGCTGATGATACTACCCTCATCTACTCCAACCCCAACCCACATACACTAAATGATGTTAATAATGAACTAAAAAAAGTCCACTTATGGATGTCAACCAACAAACACTAAACATAGAAAAGACCTACTACATCCTATTTGGAAGCAAATCTACAAATGCAATTCAGCTTCAGATAGACAATGCAAACATTAGCAGTAAAAATGATGGAAAGTTTTTTGGCCTATTCCTAGACAAGAGACTCAACTTCAGTACCCACATACAACACATAACTAAGAAAGTCTCTAAAACAGTTGGTATACTCTCCAAAATCAGATATTATGTACCTAACTCTGCTCTCATATCTCTATATTATGCACTAATCTATCCCTATCTCAACTATGGTATCTGTGCATGGGGTTCAACCACTGCAAACCACCTCAAGTCCATCATCACCCAGCAAAAATCTGCTATCAGAATAATATCAAATTCTGCTTTCAGACAACACACAGCCCCCTTGTTTAACTCCCTAAACATGCTAAACATAATCTCACTCCATAAATTCTCTTGTTTCAACTACATTTACAAAACCCTGTTCTTAAATGCAAATCCTGCTCTGAAACTCTCCCTGGACAGATGTAATAGGACCCATTATCACCACACCAGAAATAAATATCTCTTTGATATCCCCAGAGTTAAACTTAATCTGTGTAAACACTATGCAAATAAAGGGACCCAGTCTATGGAACTCACTCCCTACTGAATTGAAAAGCTGTCCAACTTTTACATTATTCAAAATCAATACTAAAAAGTACCTAATTTCATCTTCATAGTTTTTCACTTTTTGCCTTAAAATTGCACTGTATCTATTGCTACCCAATCTCCCAACCTTTATGTTCCCAATTTGAACATCTTTACCATTGTGATCATTGCTGTCTTCTTATATGTGCTGCCAATCTGCTGTATGGTGTTTATAAATCTTGTTTATCTGTATCTTTTGCTACCCAGTCTCCCAATCTTTATGTACCCAATCTGAACATCTTTACCATTGTGATCATTGCTGTCTTATATGTGCTGTCAATCTGCTGTATGGTGTCTATTAATCTTGTTTAAATTATTAATCAAGCTGTCAATGTAATCAATCAGAGCTTTAATATAACTATGTGCTTTAATATACTTACTAAGCTCTCTCATCTCATTTTTCTCTTGCAATGTATCTATAACATTTATCAATTCTGATAGAAATTACCTACTTAAAATTATCTGCTAGATTAAGGACCTGCCCGAAACGCTGGGCGTACTAGTGGCTTTACAAGAGTGTAAATACTGTACTATCCAATGTATTCTCACAAACCCAATGTACCTTCTTGTATATATATAAATAAAATAAAATAAAATAAAATAAAATATCACTGATAGGATATAGCTGGTATCCTTTCAGGTCCGATGATTCTTTCGTTTTGGTAGGCGTCAAGCCAAATAACGCTGGCAACTCATCGTCTCTAATACACATGAAGTTGGTAATGTGTTAATGCAGGAATGGTTCATTATTTTAAGTTATGCCCAAAATGCTTCAAGTATTAGTGACCTTATTAAATATTCATACTACTGTACGTAATAATTATTAAATCCCAGTATAATATTCTTATGTATATTTCTGAATAAGGTACAGTATTATTATTATTGTCTCAATTATATTGTTTACCCTTATTCTATTCTCACCCGAAACTTCTCCAATAAAGTCGATGGATTTTAACATTACAGTCTCCTAGTATCCATAGCTTTTTGTGCTCTAGTTTTAATCATTTCCATGGGTCCTTCTCTTTTACTTTTAAATTTTACACTTTCCACTTACAGCTTCCCTCCATATGTTTTTAGTTTGATAAATAATGCCTGTATGATGTCCTTAATCAAAATTTCCACCCATCTACCTTTCCTGGTTTGCATATCTCTCCCATATATATAGTTTCTTCTCATTCATTCTTTCCATTTTCATCCATTTTCTCTTCTCATTCCCAATAGTTTCTTCTCATCCACTGGCACATCCTTTGCAAATGATATCCCATCCTCTTTAACTAATGTTAATGACTACCTTACAGGAAACTATCCAGTGTTTCTAACTCCCGCTAATTCCTCTGATTTTAACGAGATAATCCTCTCTCTTAAAACAAAGTCAAGTGCCCTTTCTGAGATACCAACCAACTCTAATTTACAAAAAGCCTCCAGATGTCTAGCTCCAGCCACTGCATTACTCTACAACAAATCACTTGAACTCCAAACCTTTCTGGATGTTTTAAAAAAGCAAGAGTAACCCCAGTCCATAAACATAGACTGGGGGTTACCCAGTCCATCTCACTGATGTCAACAATTTCAGACCTATATCAATTCTGCCAATCTTGTCAAAAATATTTGAAAGCTAATTTACAAGCAGCTTTACTCTTATCTACCAAAACACAAACAGGAGTCTTGGGTCAGCCTTGATAGGGAGCAGACGTGTAGGGTAAGCGGTCTGCGTATACCGAGGGAACAATAGGGTCAAGGGAGCGGGTGTACTGTGCAGTGAGAATCGGGACAGTGTAAATCGAACAGTGGCATTGTAATGCAACACATTGATCACATCTCGTGGTGAATTATCTTAGTGAATTTAGAGAAGATAGCTGGTGAAGATTGATTCCTTGAGGCAGCATCAGTCGCTCCTGCCGGGACCCACGTGGAGACCTGAAGACCACCACAGGATTACTGATGACACGCCGTGTATTCACCTAGAGTGCTTGCAGGGCGCTAGCTGGTAAGTGTCTCTCATAAGTCTCCAACAGTGTGCAAGGTTTATATAATATCATATCATATAGACACTTAATGCATTCTATTCCATAATACAATCATAAGTGGTAGGTAACAAGGACAGCAACTGTGAGCTCACTAGGAACCAGATAAGCCACTAATCCCCCACTGTAATCTGAGGAAAACATCTCACCCACCTCCTCTTACCCCCCATCTCACTCTCCCAAAATACTCCCCCCCCCCCCACTCCTACTCTCCCCTACCACTAACTACACATACATTAACCCCCCCTTTCTCACTTCCTCTGTAGCAAGTTCTTCGGTTCAGTAGAACCGAAGTTCTACTGAACCCTGGTTTGTGCCTAGGAGAGGCTGCAGGATCCAGTAAGTTCAGTAGAACTTCGGTTTCAACTCCTTTTGACTATGTCGTAGCTCAGTCAATTAAGGCGGCGTCTGGGATGCTCTCGAATGCAGGTTCGAATCCTCGTCACGGCCCTTGTGGATTTGTTCATTTGATATTAAGTCACTGCACATCCTCTCAAGTGTACTATATATTTAAAACGCTTTATTGTAATGCCAATCCTGACCATAAATGCTTCCTAGAAGATTGTAACAGAACCCATGGGCACCACATCAGAAATAAATTCCTATTTGATATTCCAAGAGCACAACTTAACCAAACTAGAAATGCTCTGCAAATCAAGGGACCTAGAATATGGAATGACATTCCCAATCATGTCAAAGGCTGTACCTCTCTCAACCAGTTTAAAAGAAAACTAAGTACTACCTAATAAACTCCGTGTAATCTATCTTACTGCCCATGTCTTTCTATTTTCAAACAATACTGTTTGCTGACCAACTTGTATAACTGCTGATTTCCACCATTTTTTTTTTTTACCTTTGTCAACACTATTATTTCCAAGGTTGGTGATGTTTATTACTTGTTTTAGTTACAGTGCTTTCTCTATATTTACCCGAGAACCACTCACTCTCTAGTGGCCTTGTTGGGGTGACTTATCAAAGGTCACCCCCTATTATTTCTGAGGATTTTTTCTTTCTGGATTTTATACTGAAGTAATTTCTGGGCAATTTGCAGCTTCAGTGGGTAAGCAGTTCCATGGGTTTATAACCCTATGTTATGGGCAAAAAGCATCAACTGTTTTCTATCCCATACTGTGGCTTGTTGAGCGTAAAGGTATTCCTCCCTGTTATGTGTGACATTTGAACTTTCAAGGAAGTGGTCAGGATGCATCACACACACTCCGAGGATCTCATGGCGAGTAATTTCTCATTGAAGGTTGTAGTTAGATCCCCTTTTATATATAGTATCACACCACCTGCTCTTGTTGTTCTGTCCTTTCTGAAATTGGATGGTATCCTGGACGATGGAATTCTTCTTCAATTATTTTGTCTCGTCCTCATTGATCTTAATGATGTCGGGTTCTCAACCTCAGTGTCTGCACACAACCTTACCTTGAGGTTACCTTGAGGTGCTTCCGGGGCTTAGTGTCCCCGCGGCCCGGTCGTCGACCAGGCCTCCTGGTTGCTGGACTGATCAACCAGGCTGTTGGACGCGGCTGCTCGCAGCCTGACGTATGAGTCACAGCCTCGTTTATCAGGTATCCTTTGGAGGTGCTTATCCAGTTCTCTCTTGAACACTGTGAGGGGATTGCCAGTTATGCCCCTTGTGTGTAGCAGAAGCGTGTTGAACAGTCTTCTAACAATTGCGTAGAAACAATGTAAACCCTTGATAGTGTTCCTAAGGGGGCTGGGAGATTACATTCTACACACTACTTTTTTTTAACACAATTTATACTTTAATCTCATTTACTATTAAGTTTTAGTCGAAGTGTCTTCCCCCCCCCCCCCCCCACACCTTGCCCAAAACACTATGCATATTAGTGGCTTTAGGTATTGTATGTACTAGCTCTATCTATAAATCCAACATCATGTTTATAACTCTTCATCAATGTTTGTACTTTTACCTGAATAAAAATTTGAAATTTTTGAATTTGAACTATTATTCCATACGTTATCCCTTTGGATTAATGCCTACTTGTCGTTAGAGATGTATAGGGTTAGTTCTGTCCTACTGATTTTATAACACTGTTGGTGTGTTCATACAATACACTCATATTTATACATTGGATAGCTAAAATTTAATAAAGCTAAAATTATATGAGTAGGTGAAGGAGAAAGAAATTCAGAGATAACAAAATCTCACAAACTTTTTGGTTCGACATTGGTAAATAACATAACATTGGTAAACAGCATAACATCTCTTACCTTCAGTTTAAGTTCACCATGGATAAAGTCAGACTGAGATAACTTGAAGTCCAGACCAAGCCTTGATACAGCAAGTCCATCACTAAGCTTTTCCAGTTCATATTCATGTACAAATTCTTTTGGGGCCTGAAAAAGTGAGAAAGCATACTGGAGCCTACAACTTCATACTGTTACACTGTAGCTGTTATTTATATATAAGAATTCTTGAATTGATGACATTATTTTTTAATAATTAAATTTTTTTAACAGAACAATTAAAAGTAAGAGTGATACAGGCTTGTTAATTTCTTACATTTGTTGCCTTTCTTTAGAAATACTACAGTAATGGGTTATGGCAGTAACATACTAATATCGCATTTGAAACAACATATACAAATACTGTAGCTAGCAATGAAGATTACACACACTTTTACAATACACTTTTCTGTGGGGAAGCCCCATCGGCTCCCTGGAACTATCGAACTGATATTACCTAATATTAATATGGGGCTTCAGTCATGTGCAGTTGTCATGCCTAACGGGAACCACTAGCCAGAACATGGTCCCTCAGAGAGGCACAGGGAGCAATGACCTATGAAACTCATGTATGAAAGTATGCATGTCTGCCATTGACCGAGGTTGAGCACTCAGAAAGGTAGGCACTCTAAAACAGACCCCTCTTGGTAAAACAAATTTGCAACCTGAGATCGAACAGAGGCTAAAAACTTCCACGAGGGGGAGAACCCAGGCCTACCGAGCAGGCAGCCAGACCATCAGTTTGTCAATTGTGGTGGTTCCTGCTGTCCATTGGTGCGGTGACCAGGAATTGGTACTAAAGGCTGCATGTGCTTAGGGCTCCTTTCACTAAGTGCCCTGTGAGTACACCCCTTGGACATCAGGGTTCTTTTCCCTGGGGGTCTTCGGGCTTCCCACTCCCGTAGAAGTAGCGGTTGCTCGACTTCTGCTTCACCCTTGGGGTCAGCTTTGGTCTCGGTGCTTTTGTTTGGCCCTGGGTAGGGGATGGTTGTTACTGATTGGGGCACACTGGGCTGCCCAGCTTGCATAATCACAGTGGCCGTGCCTCTTTCTGGTCCCCTGGATTGTGGTGCTTCCTCGGGGTTCTCTTTCCTACTTTTAGTTTTCTTTAATGCCTATTGGGAGGCTGCCGGAGTTCCTATTAGGTGATACTTAGGTTCAGTAGGGCAGTTCTCCTTTGGGTCTCTGAGGTTGCTCACCTCACAGGAGCCAGTTTTCCTGGATAATATACGGGGTTTCAACTGACTTTGACAGCACCAGTGCTTAGTCTTCCCATAGGGATACCTCCCCCTTCGGGCCATGGAAACTCCCATCGGGCTTGGTTGACCGATGGACGTGTCCTCCGAGTTCCATCTCGCCTTGCGCGAGTTTGAAGGTTGTTTGTTGTCCCTGTTTCAGGGTGATGATCACTGGTTCCGACTCCATCATTTGCTTGTTGGGTCGACGACACCTTCGACCCGGAGTCTTGCGAATCTTGTTCTCCACTAGTACTCCAATTTACCCATTCTGCTTTAGCTGGGGTTAGGGATCAAGCAGCATGTGTGTTGCATGCTAGGTTTAGGTTGCAGTGATGTGCTAGGTTAGTTGCCCACTTGAATGCCCTGGGGCTGCCCCCATTTTTTAGGGACCCGGACATGGGGGGCGTTGGTCGCTTCGACCTTGGCTCAGTCCGCACCTCTTTGTCCTCCCCTTGTTGGTGTGCATCACCCCTCTCCTTCCCTGATGCCGGCTCCCAAACGTCTGAGGGGTTTTGGAGTCGGGGCAGAGTGTAGCTGGGGATGAGACTTGGGTGGCTTCGGGGGTTGCCCCATTCGATGTGGAGACTTAGGCATTCGAGCCTATTCCTCCCACCAAGGCTTCTGGGACTTTCCAACGGGACCCTTTCTTTGCTATCTTTCCCTTGGACTCTGCCTTTTCTTTAAAGGTGGAGGGCATTGAGCATGGCTCTGTCCAGGATCCTGGTTTGGAGGATTCCAAGGTTTGGGGAAAAAGCGGTCTGAGGTGCTTGGGCCCCTTTCGATCCTGCCTGGGCTTTGGTACCTTCGGAGCAGGGTCTGCTGTTGCAAGGTTTGGGGTTTTCGTATTTCCCCCCTTACCTGTACGAATTTGATATGGGGGTAGGCTGTCTCCTGGGTTAGTTTCTGGGTTCCCTTGGGCTCCATGACTTTGTCCTTCCAAAGGTTTTCTACCTCTCGTATTTTCCCTGCGGAGGATCGGGAGCCCTCGGTTCCTACCTCCTGCGAGACCCGAATTTTGCTTCTGTGATGGACATGGTCTCTATTGAGTTTGGGGCTTCTTCCCTGTATTGGGTGCATCACGATGTTCTGGTGTCTTCCTGGCTTGCAGACTGACCTTTCTTTTCATTGGAGGGGGGGGGGGGGGGGGGGGAGGCGTTATCTTGAGATGATGATTTAATTGATCATCAAATTGCCTGGCATATGTTCTGTCGTACCTGCACGCTTGAGTGGCAAGAGCTCACTATGGTGTTGCAGGTGTACCTAGGGGGCGCATTTGAGCTCCTTAATGTGTGCTTGTTCTTCCCCGTGCTTCCCCGTGAGTTTGGTGTGATGCAGTTCCACGTCCAGGTCCCTTCCCTTTCGGCTGCTTTGGTCGAGTAGGATCATCGTGTTCACGGGCATTTGGCCTCAGTCCTCTGCTCCTTTTCCTTCTTGAGCTGTCCTCGGAGTGGCTTGTGGAGGATGTGGAGGTATTGAGTGCCGGGACATTGTCTGAGGTGTTGACTTTGGGGGTAGGGCGTCGACGGCGTTGCTCAAACTGTATGTGCCTATCCTCCAGGAGGCAGTGTCTCTGTTTTATGCCTCTCGCCTTGCATGTCAGCAGGCTGTCCTCGCTCTCTGTGGATTCTGCTTGGGCCCTGGCTCTTCTGTTTTCGTTTTTATTTTGTCCGCAATTGTTTGCAGACTCGGTTGTCGTTCAGTTTTTGCAGGCAACTTCTGCTAGTTGCCGCCCTCTTTCGGATATGTTAGTTGTCCAGGGTGCACACTCGTGCTTCCCGGAAGGGTCGTGCCAGGGTTCTGGTATCTGATGGTCGAGGTGAAACTTTGGTGCCAGTTTTTTACGCCTGTTCCGGAACCAGCTTCATCTGGTCAGTGCAGTGCTCGCTCTGCACTCAGTTTGGGTTCTCAGAAGGGCAGAAGGTTCTCCCTGCCAGCCCTTTCACAGGTCGCTGAGGGGGAAGAGAGGCTGGCTCTGTTTGCTCACGCTTGGTCCCACGATTCATGGGCGTTTCGGGTCGTGTGTTCCAACCGGCATTGGCATTGGGTGGCTCCTCCCCCTGCGAGTGGTTCAGGGCTGGTGGGCCAGCCTTCCTTCTGTCGCTGGTGAACGACAGTGCTCACCAGGCCGGCCAGGGGCGGTGGGCTCCATCCTTCTGTCAGACTCACAGTACGGTGCAGGAGTTTGCGACAGTGTAACCTGCACCGAGTTGGATTCGGTTTGCCGAGGCTCTACAATACGGCTCCATTCAGACTGCGCTCTGGTGGTTCATTGCCTGAACCGTGGGGGAGTCTCTGAGGTACATGGCTCTTTGGGGCTGGTCGCTTCGGGTGACTCTTCTGCTGAGTTTTTGGGGTTTAACTCTCTGTGCAGTTCATATCCGGGGCGTGACCAACGTCCTGGCAGACGACCTGTCACAGTTCCTTCCCCTGTCCACTCCACAGAATGGACACCGACTCATTCAGTTGGTTCTGCCGGACGTTCGGGCCTCCGGAGGTCAACCTTTTTATGCTGGTGTGGTCGAGGCATCTCCTTGTCTATGTAGCGCCCTTCCCCAACTGTGAGGCCGTCATGGTAAATGCTTTTCAGCAGCTCGAGTCCTTTCAGATGAAGGTTCTCATTCTGGCCCCATGATAGCCGGCCCAGACTTGGCTTCAAGCCCTGCATGCTCGGTGTCCGAACCCGGGGTGTTTTCCGAGGCTCTGCCTCTTTCAGCAGATTGGGCCGGTGCTTTGCATCTGGAGTTTCTGATGTGGGTGTATCATCATCTGTATGGTGACCAGGTGGCTTCTTGAATGGTGTCCCATCTGTGTCTTCTTCTTGGCAGTAGTAGGAAGTCTGTTGGCGATCTTTTTGCCACTTCCTTTCCTTGCTTAGGTTGTCTTCGGTTTTGGATCGTCTTGTGTTCCTTTTTCTTTCTTGGCTATTTCAGGACAGGCATCTTATGCCAAATACTGTTGCCTTGTATCGTGTGATGCTGGCGGAGCTGCTCCAGCGAATGAATGTCACTTCTGCTCCATTTCGCAAGCTTTCCTGTGCCTTTTTTTCACCTTAGGCCTGCTCTTGCACTGCCTGAGCCATCCTGGTCTTTGGACCAGGTGCTCTCTTTTCTTTCTCTTCTCAATTTGAGGTGGCCCCTTCAGGCCAAGACTGTTTCTAGAAGGCTTTGTTCTTGTTGGCTTTGGCTTCTAGGGCTCGGGTCGGGGAGCTTCATGCCCTCCTCCGGCGGAGAGGCTTTTGCTCTTTTGGTCCGGATAGACGTTTTGTTTGTTTGCAGCCAGCTCTTTCTTTTCTAGTGAAGAACGATATGGTGAGCTTCTGGAGGGGTTCACAGGTTATTGATGCTTTGTTGGTCAGACCAAAGGTGTATCATCTTTTGTGTCCGGTTGCAGCTTTACGCCGTTACCTGCATGTCATGGCTTCTGTGTAAGGGGATGTGTTGCGGGTTGACCCGGTATCTGTTGTTCCCAGTTCCAGGGGCTAAGGTCTCTCAGGTCGTCCGCAGGGTTATCAAGTCTAGCCAGCCTGCGGTCTACCCTCATGCCAATGATGTTCGTAAGTTCTCAGATGTGACTGCTGTGTTTGGTAATATGTCTTGGGCTGACATTCGGGTGTGGGGGTTTTGGAGATCGAACAGGGGGCCTGGCTGCCAGTTTTCTTGTTAACGTGCCGGGCCCTCAGCAATCTAGTGTCACCTTGGGTCGGCGGTTGCAGCCAATTGTCTCGTCTTCGTTACGAGTCGTGCGGTGCAGCTGCCTCCTGGATAAGTCCCTATTTTCCTGCTCTTTGGGTAGTTAGCTCCAGGGAGCCGATGGGGCTCCCCCACAGAAAATGCCATTTTCTGGTTAGAGCCCTGGAGACTCCCTGGAACCCTCCCTCTTCCCGGTCGGCGGTTTTTGTTTTCGTTTTCAGACTCTAAACTGATGGTCTGGCTGCTGGCTCGGTGAGCCTGGACCCCCCCCCCCCTCTCCCCCTCCTGGGGGGGGGGGGCAGGGGTGGCACCAATGAGTGGCATGCGGTGTGATGACGTGTTGCTTGTTAGCTTTTCTTCTTTGGGGGAGTTTCTAGCCTCTGTTTGGTCTCAAGTTGCAATTTTTCTACCAGAAGGGGTCTGTTTTGGAGCGTCTACCTTTTTGGGTGCTCAACTCCGGTCGATGGCAGACACGCTTACTTTCATGAGAGTTTCATAGACCATTGTTCCTTGCACCTCTCTGAGGGACCATGTTCTGGCTAGTAGTCCGTGGTAGGCACGACAACTCTATATGACTGTAGCCCCATATTAATATTAGCTAATATCAGTCCAATAGCTCCAGGGAGCCGACGGAGCTCTACCCAGAAAATGGCAGTTTCATTACATTCAACACTGGTTTTTAAGCATGCAATACTGTATTTAAATAATACAGCACAAAATACCAATAATGCTGTACACACATTTTGTTGTGTTTTTCATGTGTGTTCATACACATATACATAAACATATCTGTAGATATCCCACCAGCCACCCTCTGGAAATAGTACTCCAGAACTTGTGCTAACAGCGGGAGAGTGCACGATCAAATTCAAGTAGGAGAGAAACTTGCTCCCATTTGCAACCACAATGTCCCGAGATGGAAAACAACTCTAGAAACCCAAAGTACGATCCAGATAATATTATGATTACTATGAATAATTTGAGAATGAGTGAGAAACTGCAAATTATTACACAGAGGAAAGTAATTGATCAAAGGACTGAAGTATCATGGGATAACTTCACAAATATTACTAAAGTTGTGCAAGAGGCCATGAAATATAGTCACCCAGGAAATCAAATTAGCCACATGAAACTTAAAAAGAAAACGAACAAAACAACAAAGATCAAGTATTTTTATACATACAAGAAGCAAAATCATTACGAAGTTCACAGTGGGAACCTTAAAGATTAAACAAACCAAATTTTAATTAAAAAATAAAAACTGTCAACATTTTGAATTATTTTATTACTCTACTTTGTCTAGTGTTCACGCTAGAAACACTTGACAACAGTTAAATGCCTACAGAGAATTTTGAAATGGGATAAAAGAATGAGTTAAGAGATATTACAATCATATGAAAAATAATCAGGAAGAACACTGGTAAGTTAAAGGAGTATAAAGCAGTAGCAGAAGTGACGGAAATTTAATCCCAAATGGTAAAATATTACATTGCCGAAGAATTGTGTTTGACACTGAAACTGCTATAATTGTGTTACACAATACAGACCCATACAACCAGCATTACAGAGCCAGGAGATGATGCTAAATCCCTCACAAGAAGTTTGACAGGTAAATACAATAAAAGATTATCTACTACATTACTACGAAAAACTTACCAATAGTTTAGTATATATTTTTTGTAATTGACAATAAGTCAAGAAAAAGGGCACAAATATCAGTATTTACACAAGACATTTTCTGAGAGAATGAAGAGGGATGAAGTATAAAATGTGTCTGGGATGTAAGCCTGTAACTTTTACCAGACAGGTATTGAGAGGAGTAATTTGTTAAAATGTTACAATTAGGTTCATTTATTTCATAGAAATCTGCTCAAAATCCAAAAAAACTTTAAAAATGTTATTTTTTGTGCATGCTCAAAGAATAAATAACTTCTTTCCAGAAAAAATTAATGGCTTACATTAATTCCTAATTCTGCTACTTGTGTTAAATATTTCTGCCATCTACTTCATCTATCATCATGGTACTACCATTTTTGTTATTCCAACTTGAATGTGTCTAAACTCAAGTTAAGTCTTCAACTGACCTGCTTGTCATTGATGAACCAAACCAGGGAAGCCTCAGGGATGGAGGGCGCTGCTGTACAGTTAAGTTTGACAGTATCTCCTACACCATAGTGGCCAGTAACGTCACCCTCAATATTGGGCTGCTCTTCCGGTATCACTAACAACAAAAATAAAGCACACTGTATGTGATATATTTCAAGAGTCATCAAACAAATATGGTATAATTTTTGTTTGTTATGGTGTGTGTAGTATATACTGTACTGTATATTGATATTCGTAAACTCGTACCGTTATTGTCCATCATACAGATGAATGGATGCTATATCTTAACTGTCTAGAATACAATGAATTAGGAACAGTATTTTAATTGTTTTACTTTACAAAATCAAAGTTGCCAGATATCTTTGTTATTTAAAATCACAATAACAAGATATCTTTACTATTCAAGACTAAAGTTGATCAAAAATGCTGACAATCAAAGAGGGAGTAAACAATAACTGTCATTATCGATGACCTATTTAATAAATTATCTTGCTGTCCAAGACTTAGTCAGGACAACATTCTTATCTGGGCCATGTTAAACATTGCTTATATGACTCTGTTAATTGAATATCTGTACTGCTTAGTTTGGTTTACAACAGTGTGGACAATAAAGGCATTGAACCATCTAAATATTTTTGATGACTCTTGAACAGCATGTGAAAAGGGAAAACAGTTTAATTTGTACAATCTTAAATGTAAAATTAAACTCTTAATGCGCAACTTGCATTTGTTAAAGCAAATCTTGTAGATGAATAATATGCGATTCACATGAAATTGTATTAACTAGACAATACATCTTCACGAACTTTTCTGCAATAAACAATATTGCATTTTTGGAGTAACTTACTACAATACCCAAGTGTTTGAGGGAAGGTGAAGAAAAGACCCAATACATGTGAGTGTATTATTAGACCACATTTTGGGATGAAACCTGCATCCTTTATTAAGGTGCTGTAACCAATGTATTGTATCTTTCAAACACCAGCTTACATTAAATCTATATTTTTTTATATTATGTGCTTAAGACAACTTAAGACAAGGGACACGTAATATAGGGAGGAGAGGAGTTACCACACGAGTACATTAAGGGAACAACTACCATGCTGGCTAGTGTGGCCCAGTCTGCCTTCTCACACGCCACAGGCAATGGTCATAAAACTCAAATGACCTTATTTGTTGAATATAAGTATCATAGGAATAAACAAATCAAATATTGTGTTTGCTACCAATTAAATTAATAAGTTTGAAATAAATTTGAAGCAGCACAAAATCATTAGTGCAGTAATGGACTTGTGTACTCGTTATGTCGATACAAATATTTTGTTGTAAATTTGGTAAGAATGATATATGATATTAATTGCAATCTAAATTTATTGTAACACTTCATATAATTCCTGTTGTCAGGGGCAGGAAGCCTTTATTTAGGCTTACCGAAAACCCCCTAACGAGTGGCTCCTAAAAGGTGTGGAGAGAGAGAGGAATGACAAGTTTGGCGGGAGATTCAAGAATAATAAAAAGAAAAAGTATCCACGCATCGCTTCACAAGCATTAGCTATTGTTTTACAGTTTTCCACAACATTGTTGTAAACCAGGATTTTCAGCTATGACAAATATCAGAGCCCAGAAAAGAGAAGGCTTCGTTGTGTTGACGAGATAAAAATCAGTTTGTCTCAACTTAGACTTAACATAAATAAGATTACCCGACAAGAAAGCTTACACCTCTCATCGTGCTTGTATACTTAAGGTATATAAACACAAACACAATATTTATGTAAGAGCCCCGTCTATAAGTATATTTCAGGAACACATCATGTTGTTATGCAGCCGCATAGTTGTATACTCTCCAGATGTCCCATGGTCATCTTATATGGTAGTTGTCTTCCGTATCATGAGTCGACCATTAAAAGGAGTTTTGTTTTAATGGATTTCTTATCAATCATAAATTTGGTGTGCGAGGAGCAAATTTTTATTCCAAAAGTGCAACCCAGAGAAGAGAACGTGAAATCCACTGCCCGAGATCATCTAATAAGTTCCCAGGATGCACCCCCACAACAATTGCCTGACTATAAAACTGATATATGAATAGAGGCATTAGGTGAAAAAAAAACATGACCAGCCGTTTCTGTCCCACTCGGGTATCGAACCCAAGATCCTAGATTGTGAGTTGAGAACTAGACCACTGTACTACAAGATCCATTAATGATCTTGTGCACTGTATATCATTAAGAATTGATCCACAAATCTATTCAGGTGCAATGTATACTTATTGCTACCTATCCTCAGGTCAGGATGTACATTAAAGCACTAAGTGCTCTTAGAATATTTTTGTATTATTAATATAATGCTAAAATAAGGTCTGTGGTATACTCATTTTCTCTAATAAGCCCCAGACCCATCATTTTATTTAATGTAAAATTATTGTGGATACTCAAGCAATTCAGAATTTTGTGTCTGAAGATGCAATACACTGGTTCAACCAACAATAGATCTGAAGGTCTATTAAGCCCCAATAACAGTCTATTGGTCCACTACCAAAGTGTATTAGTGGCTTTGTAATATTGCTTATTCACCAACATATATAATTTCATAATCCATTGTACCTTCTTGTATATATAGAGCTAAATAAATAAATAAATACAGTAAATAAATAATAAAATATTCAATGTTGAGTCAATGTACTGAATCCTCAAATATGTGAAATTGTGGCCTGCTTGAGGATCCGGAAGAATTTAGTGGTAAAGAAAATACTAGGCTAAGGGCATGTCAAAGAAAGTATACAAGAGACAGTACATTTTTTGCACTATAATAATATTATCGAAATACACCAAGTGTATTTAGTGCTTTAATGAACATACTTCCTAGTATAAGGACGGGCTGACTCGGTGTTTCATTAAACGTGCCTTGGTATGTTGTAGGATTTTACAACAAATAATTAGATTACTTACCACCTCCATACCTTTCACCACTGAAGATCCAACAACACGCCAAGAGATGCCATTTTTTTCATTTTGCTGCATATAAACAGTTTTAAATAGTGGAGTGCAGCTCCTATAACCTTTTTTTGTTTAACAGATGACTTGTTATTTAATAATAAATTGTATACCATGATATACTTTAGAATCTGCATCTTTGTGAAGTTATTTTAAAAAAGTGCATACATATATGTAGGTGTGATTGTGTGTGTGTGTGTGTGTGTGTGTGTGTGTGTGTGTGTGTGTGTGTGTGTGTGTGTGTGTGTAATTACCTAAGTGTAATTACCTAAGTGTGTTTTTGGTGTGTGTGTGTGTGTGTGTGTGTGTGTGTGTGTGTGTGTGTGTGTGTGCAATTACCTAAGTGTAATTACCTAAGTGTGTTTTTGGTGTGTGTGTGTGTGTGTGTGTAAATATGGGCAGACAATGAAAGCATATATATGTAGTACAGCATAATCACAGCGAAACTGTTGACTTGCAAACATGAAGCAACATAACTTTCACAAGAACATGCCTATACACAATATATATATACACAAGGCACACACAAAGACACAAATAACAGCAAAACAACACTTACCAACAACTGTCATGGTAGCTTCTTTATCAACACATGTGAATTCAGGATATTCTGTGTGAACCTCACACATATACTTGCCAGAGGCACTTAAGTCAATCTCTTGCAACACCACTGTCTCGCCTGTTGAGGCTTCCATCTATTAAGAGAACACAGTTAATAACAGTATGATGTTCTATAGCAATAACATATAACCTTTCCAAATTCAAAACAAAGCAGAACCTACTAGTCTCACTGTTATGATATGTTCTACAATTTTTCACTGAACTAAGTTTAACCCTGCGAATAATATGGTACAAGTGGTGACGTAATGTGGACACTACACGGTAACAATACTTACGAATCAGCCCCATTTCACATAAATAATTCAAAGTGCTAAATATTACTAGTTATCTTTTATGATCACTTTCGTAATGAAAATGTAATACTTTATAACAAGACAAGCCACTCTGCTTCTAACCAATAAATAAGAGTGAGGACATCACTGGCCGTAATGCTGGAAATATTTGTATATCTAACTTTAATATATACACGTGTATGTATAAATTAAGTTGTTATATTTGTAACAGAAAGTCAAAGCCATTGAGTAAGTTAGTTTTAAGCTGGTAAAGGTTTCTTGGGTATTTGTTGTGGGTTGATAAGCAATAGCTGGTGAAAGCTACTGTTTACTTCAAGCTGGGAAAAGCTTGTACTGTACAGTATTTAATGTATGGTCACTCTTGTGAACGCTTTTGCAATTTTAATGGCTTTGCAGAGCGCTTTCTTAAAGATAAATTTAATCGTGTGTTAAGAAAAATATACTCAGTGTATAGTGAACAGTATAATCTTTTTAATCTATTTAATTCAGCTCTTTACAATCAAAGTTGTTCAAGTCCTCAGTTATCCCCAGTTATTTTATAATTCTAATACCAGTATTATTCCATTATCCCTTGTGTTTCCCAGTGTTAACAATATGTTCAGATCATCTACAATTATACCAGTACCTTTGTATTTTTAGTTATCAACGTTATCCTCAGTTATCCCCAAGTTAAGAGATCCTAATTATATTAAACAATTCCCTGTGTTCCCCTGCGCTGACCATCTATTCCAGGTTATTCCGAATTATTATCAGTTATCTACAGTTATCCCTAACTATCGTCAGATTGCAATAGTTCCCCAAGTATCCAGGTAGCGGGTACTCTCCTGTTCTGTAGTCCTCTATGTTGTCTCATCTTGTATTCCAGGTTATCATCAGGTCACCCAAGTGTTCCTTTGTTCCAAACAATTAACTCTGACTACATTTGTTGACGTTTCTACCATTGTAAGAGGAAGAGTACATTTATTAACTGAGTAATTGTGGCTTTTTAAATAACGTAATATTTAGAGTTGCAAGTCGTATCTATATAGTGTAATTGTTATATCAATCCCTCTCTGTAACATCCTCAGAGATGGTGACAATCAGAACAATTAACAGTGTACCACATGATAATAAATAGTAGGAATCGGAATATAAACTTCACAGCAATTAACTTTGATTTATATAATGGCCGGTACTGTTAGGCATTACTAAATATGTAAGAGTAGGGGGAGGGGGAGCAACTTCGTGCTTTAGGATTAACGAAGTCATTTAAATACAGTAAAAAGGCCTGCTGTGAGTATGTGAATACATACATATATATATATATATATATATATATATATATATAATATATATATATATATATATATATATATATATATATATATATATATATATATATATATATATATATATATATATATATATATATATATATATATATATATATATATATATATATATATATATATATATATATATATATATATATATATATATATATTATATATATATATATATATATATATATATATATATATATATATTATATATATATATATATATATATATATATATATATATATATATATATATATATATATATATATATATATATATATATATATATATATATATATATATATATATATATATATATATATATATATATATATATATATATATATATATATATATATATATATGTCGTACCTAATAGCCAGAACGCACTTCTCAGCCTACTATTCAAGGCCCGATTTGCCTAATAAGCCAAGTTTTCATGAATTAATGTTTTTTCGTCTACCTAACCTACCTAACCTAACCTAACCTAGCTTTTTTTGGCTACCTAACCTAACCTTACCTATAAATATAGGTTAGGTTAGGTTAGGTAGGGTTGGTTAGGTTCGGTCATATATCTACGTTAATTTTAACTCCAATAAAAAAAAATTGACCTCATACATAGAGAAAAGGGTTGCTTTATCATTTCATGAGAAAAAAATTATAGTAAATATATTAATTCAGGAAAACTAGGTTTATTAGGCAAATCGGGCCTTGAATAGTAGGCTGAGAAGTGAGTTCTGGCTACTAGGTACGACATATATATATATATATATATATATATATATATATATATATGTACATGTATGTATGAGGGTGTGTACATGTGTATACAACATTGATAATTTTGTAACTAGCGTCAAATATTGTTATTTGCTTAGCTAAAGGAACTAGAGGGTTCAGTTCCTGAACCGATTATGTGCCTCTGTAATCCTTTACACCACCGCCCACGGGATGAGTATGGGGTGCATAATAAAGAAAGAAATTGAAATTGAATTGTGAGAAGGTAGACTGCGTGAAGGCTGCCAAGTGATGCAGTCAAACGTATGCAACATTATAGTGTATGATGTGCATTATGTGGCTCCTGTTTATCAGTGTTCTCAATATAATATATGCAGCATTACCATACATGACAAGAGTGTGAAATAAGAGGAAACTGACGGCTAGTCCTTCACAGTTTCCTTAGACCAGTAAGTCTTGTTACAAGTACATTGCAGTGTTCTACGGCTACCTAACACGACTGAGTGCCTATGATTTGACTCATAATACCATGGCAGACCGCTAAGCTACAGTCAACATCTTGATACAATAACTGTCGATAATTTAGCACATCAAATAATTATAAAGACTGTAGTTTTTTAATGTTATATGGCTGTAAGTCTAGACTACTTACGTTAACTTTGATCAAGGTGGTGTTGAACAATACCAACTTTGTGTCATCATTAGGGGTATACCTGCGGAATACATGCCCTTATTATTACTATTGTATTATACGTCAAGTGAACCCCTGTTTTACACTGTTTTATGCTTACTCTACATTAATCATATTATAAAGTACAGAATAATAAAGTAACTATACACAATTGTTATAAAATAGTTATAAATAGCTTACAAAATATTATATTAAAATACTGTTTCAGGGAAAGAGAGAATTACAAAATCAATATTCTACACCTCATTTAAATTCTACGAGTAAGATGTAATATGAGGAAGTTTACGATACCGTGAGCAACAATCACTAATGACAGCAAGCAAGGTCACGCTAAACAGAAAAAGGTCAACTACATTGTATTTTGAAAGACAGTACACTTACCTTCAGCACTCGAAATACATCACAGCCAAAAGTGTCTAGAATAGTTGGCATACCTCAACAAATCAGACACTATGCCCCACACTGCTCTTCTCATATTATACTACTCACTAATCTATCCTTATCTAACTTAGGGTGTGTGTGCATAGAGTACAACCCCCTGGAACTACACCAAACCCATTATAACCCAGCAATAATGAGCTATCAGAACTACAACAAATTCTGTCTTCAAATAGCATTGTACCCCTCTGTTTAAACCCCTAAGCATGCTTAACATACACTCACTCCACTACTTAATCAAATGAAAAGTGCTCAACCTATACTTTACTCATAAGATAACAATGAAGTACCTTATTTTCTCACCTTATAATACTGACTCAGCGTGACAGTAGATAGGCTACTAACTCGCCTATCTAGAAAACAGCTCCACCAATATAATGTCTCATTATCACTACCTTATCGTATTAATGTTACATGCGGTAATTATGTCAACTCTCAAATTTCTCATTTTTTATTGCATACATCAGTCACTAGTTTCATTTCTTTGTTTAGGAATGTCTGTTCACCTTCTAACTAAACATTAACTGTAAATTTGGTTACCTTAAAACTTTAAGACCAAACTCGGCATGTTAATCCCCAAAATCTGTGCTGGTACAAACCACTGAATCAGTGGTTTGTATATATTATATATTAATATATATATATATATATATATTAATATTATATATATATATATATATATATATATATATATATATATATATATATATATATATATATATATATATATATATATATATATTAATATATAACATATGTCGTACCTAGTAGACAGAACACACAATTCTCCATGGTGTACAACAAGTCACTGGTAACAGGTGAAATGCCAAAACTTTGGAAGACGGCCAATGTAGTCCCAATATACAAGAAGGGTGATAGGCAGGAGGCACTGAACTACAGGCCAGTGTCCCTAACTTGCATTTCATGCAAGATGATGGAAAAGATTGTGCGAAAAAAGCTAGTGGAACATCTGTAGCTGAAGAACTTTGTAACACAACATCAGCATGGGTTCAGGGATGGCAAATCATGCCTAACAGGATTAATTGAGTTCTATGACCAGGCAACAAAAATCAGGCAAGAGAGAGGGCTGGGCAGACTGTATATTTCTGGACTGCCAGAAAGCTTTTGACACAGTACCACATAAGAGACTAGTGCACAAACTGGAGATGCAGGCAGGAGTGAAAGGGAAGGTACTCCACTGGATAAGAGAGTACCTAAGCAACAGGACACAGCGAGTCACCGTGAGGGGTGAGGTCTCGGAATGGCGGGGAGTCACCAATTTCGTCCCACAGGGATCAGTCCTTGGACCTATACTGTTTCTGATGTACGTAAATGATCTCCCAGAAGGAATTGACTCGTTCCTCTCGATGTTTGCTGATGATGCAAAAAATTGAGGAGGAGGATCAGGACAGAGGAGGATAGTATGAGGCTACAAGATGACCTAGACAAACTGAAGGAATGGTCCGACAAATGGCTACTAAAGTTCAACCCAAGTAAATGTAAGGTAATGAAACTAGGAGGAGGAACTAGGAGGCCAGACACTGGATACCGAATGGGAAATGAAGTTCTTCACGAAACGAACAGAGAGAAAGATCTGGGAGTTGATATCACGCCAAACTTGTCTCCCGAAGCCCACATCAAAAGAATAACATCAGCGGTCTATGCGACGCTGGCTAACATCAGAACTGCTTTCAGAAACCGATGTAAGGAACCCTTCAGAACCTTGTATACCACGTATGTAAGGCCAATCCTGGAGTATGCAGCCCCAGCATGGAGCCCGTATCTAGTCAAGCACAAGACGAAGCTGAAAAAAGTTCAGAGGTATGCTACTAGGCTAGTGCCAGAATTAAGAGGCATGAGTTATGAGGACAGACTACGTGAACTGCACCTCATGTCGCTGGAAGACAGAAGAGCTAGGGGGAGACATGATCACCACTTACAAAATTCTCAGTGGAATTGACAGGGTGGACAAGGATGGATTATTTAACACGGGTGGTACACACACAAGGGGACACAGGTGGACGCTGAGTACCCAAATGAGCCACAGAGACATTAGAAAGAACTTTTTCAGTGTCAGAGTAGTTAGTAAATGGAATGTACTAGGAAGTGATGTGGTGGAAGCTGACTCCATACACAGTTCCAAATGTAGATATGATAGAGCCCAATAGGCTCATGACTCTGCACATCAGTTGATTGACAATTGAGAGGCGGGACCAAAGAGCCAAAGCTCAACCCCCGCAAGCACAAATAGGTGAGTACACACACACACACACACACAAATCCATGGGTTGAACCTCTGATAGACCCTCATTCGTAGATATATATGTAGATAAATATAATAATAATAATAATAATAATTTTTATTTAGGTAATGTACATACATAGAGATTTTACAAAGTTTGTTGGCTTAATAGATAGAGCTAGTACATACAATGCCTAAAGCCACTATTACGCAAAGCGTTTCGGGCAGGAAAAACATTAATGACTAAAGCTTAAAACTAATGGGTAAAAAAAGAATAAAATGTGTTGAGTACAAATAAAAATAGAGGTAAAAGAGGGGGGAACATTGTTGAAAGAGCAGCACAAATACAATTACAAATTATTACAGAAAATTACATTCAAACAGCGATGATTTGAAAAACAAAAAAAAAACAAAAAAAAAACATACATGGGTTGACAACAGAGGGGTAAGGTAGGTTACAGGGAATTTATTAGGTATAGCTTCGTTTTTAACTTAAACTGGTTGAGAGAGGTACAGTCTTTAACATGGTTGGGAAGGTCATTCCACATTCTGGGCCCCTTGATTTGTAGAGCATTTCTGGTTTGATTTAGTCGTACTCTAGGAATATCAAAACTGTATTTATTTCTGGTGTGGTGCTCATGGGTTCTGTTACAACCTTCTATGAAGCTTTTGAGATCAGGATTGGCATTATAGTTTAGCGTTTTATATATGTATAATACACATGAGAGAATGTGCAGTGACTTAATGTCTAACATATTCAGAGATTTGAGTAGGGGTACCGAGTGATGTCTGGGGCCAGAATTGGATATTGTCCTAATAGCAGCTTTGTGTTGAGTAATTAAGAGGACGTAAGTGATTTTGGGTAGTAGAGTCCCAAGCACAAATACCATAGTTGAGATATGGATATGGATATATATATCATGATGTTTAAGGAAACTAAGATCACTTAAAATATCATTGAGTTGAGAGTAAAACCAAATAGGGATTATCATTACCTGAGGAACTCTTTATTGTTGTGGTACCACTTAATGGAGTAGAGTTTCTTGTTGGCCATCTCATAGCTGCAGGTTAGTGTCTGGTTGGAGTAGCGGACGGCGTGTCGCGGCACGTGTAGTGACGTCACTCGCACTGACGACTCCACACCTGCACAAACACAAACCACTTGTTACTCACCTCAAACACATGTAGTTATTAATAATTTTAAATGTACTCCACCCACATATAAGAACAACCGAGGCAGTGGCTATGTACTTCTTTGACCTAATTGACCTCATATTAAAAAATAATTCCTTGTCTTATGCATAATCAATGTTAAAAATACATCTTTAAAATTACTAAGATAACTCCATACATGATTTGGCTACATTACTAAGATATTTGTTGTGTCTAGGAGAAGAGCCGTGAGGCGCAGGACTAATATTGTCATAATTATCTGCACACATTCAATACATTGTATGTACATTGTATAATAATATGGGCAGTATAATCTAAATGGGAATAACACCCCCAAGATAAAGCCGAAGAAAAACATTAGAGGTCTTATAATATCTTGTATATAGTTTATATCTATAGTCACTATCAATAATCATGATCCATATGGTAATGTATCATCTATTACATGATTATATGTTATCGTTATCATCTGCTCTTAGTCCTTCCTGACTGCCAGAATTATTAGCCATGATATTATTGGGTTACAGTCAATATATTAAGTGGTGTATTTAGGCTACTCGTCAAACATCAAAGCCAAAAGATATCCTTTCCCCTCGCTGCGATGAGCTGCATACATATAAGGAGAACAATTTAGTATCTGAAGATAAGTAGGGAGCGAGGGTGTAGGGTAGCAACAACCTGATCAACCACCGGATCCAGCCAATCACAGTACTCATTCCTCTGCTTCACCCAACAACCCTACCCACCCCAATGGGTGGATATGTTACTAGTGTTACACCCTGGTCGTCCAGGGCTCGCCACCCTGGTCGTCCAGGGCTCGCCACCCTGGTCGTCCAGGGCTCGCCACCCTGGTCGTCCAGGGCTCGCCACCCTGGTCGTCCAGGGCTCGCCACCCTGGTCGTCCAGGGCTCGCCACCCTGGTCGTCCAGGGCTCGCCACCCTGGTCGTCAGTAGTAGGGTGGAAGACTCACAGACGAATTTTTTTTTTCTGGGAGAAAATTCGTTTGTGAGTCGTGGGGGTTTCAGGTGAATTTGGAAATTCCCCTGTGAGTCGTACGACTCACAGACGAATTTTTGTTTTCGGGGAAATTCGTCTGTGGCATGTCAGGGTTTTCAGGTGAATTTAGAAATTCGTGTGTGGCATGTCAAGGTTTTCAGGTGAATTTGGGGAGTCACAGATTTGGGATTAAGGAATTCTTATGAGGAAAATAATTTCTGAGATTTTAGAAGTTTGTTAAAAGTTCTTATGCTGAAAATAAGTTCATACAACTTTGTTAAAGTTCTTATGGGAGAAATTCAAATTACTGTTTAAGAGCCAGCATTTCCAGGTAAACTCTACGGACATATTTTGCCTGTTTTCAACATCGGAGAAATTCGTGTTTGAGAGCCAGGGTTTTCAGGTAAATTTGGGCAGTCACAGATTTGGAATTCTTATGAGGAAAATAATTTCTGAGATTTTAAAATTTTGCTAACCGTTCTTATGGGGAAATTCAAATTTTTTCAGAGTTCAGTTTTAAGAAAATATTTCAGAGTTTCAAATAATCATAGAAGTTTATTTATATGTTTATGACCAAATTTTGTAAAAAGACCATTTTCAGCGAATACTGTCTTAGACAATTTGTTAAGGAAAACAGACATCTTAGCCATAACATTTAGTTTTATATCCATTTACGGCTATTTCACCTGTAAAGACCAAAATTGAACAGAGCCCAGTTATAGACAGAAATTCGTCAGAGTTCCAGTTTATGCCTGAAATAATCAGAGTCAAGTTTTAGCCAGAAAATTAACAGAGTCCAATTAACAACACAAATTCACCAGAGTCCACTTTGAGAGCAAAATTCGTCAGAGTCTACTTTGTGAGCAAAATTAGTCAGAGACAGTATTTAGCTCATATTTCATCAGAGTCCAATTATCAACAGAAATTCGTCAGAGACTACTTTGTGAGCAAAATTAGTCAGAGACAGTATTCAGCTCATATTTCATCAGAGTCCAATTATCAACAGAAATTCGCCAGAGTCTACTTTGAGAGCAAATTTCATCAGTGTCCTGTAATCTGTGAAAATTTGACAGAGTCCATTTTATACCCAATTTTCGTCAGAGACCATTTTATACCTAAAAATGAACAGAGTCTACTTTAATAGCAAAATTCATCAGAGTCCAGTTTTCTAGCAAATTTCATCAGTGTCCTGTAATCTGTGAAAATTTGACAGAGTCCAGTTCTTGATCGAAATTCATCAGAGTCCAGTTTTCTAGCAAATTTCATCAGTGTCCTGTAATCTGTGAAAATTTGACAGAGTCCAGTTCTTGATCGAAATTCATCAGAGTCCAGTTTTCTAGCAAAATTCGCCAGAGTCTACTTTGTGCCAAAATATTCAGAGTCCAGTTCATGATCGAAATTAATCAGAGTCCAATTAAAGACCCAAATTTGACAGAGACCACATTTTCGCTACTAACAGTCCAATCCCCCTGAAATTTTAAACAGTCATATTTCAGACGTAGTAAATAAGATCAAGTCAGTTACAGAGCTCCAGCTCTTGTCCCCCTGTATTTGCATATTTTCTCTATATTCAGCTGTGTTCTTCACATTTTTTCCATGTTTTCTGTGTTCATTCCATGTTCTATAAATGTTCACAGCAAGCTCAGTTCAAATTTTTTCTGCCATTTTCCCCGTATGTTCACTATGTTCTTTGTCATATTTTCATGTGCATCATATGTTCTCTGTATAACTTTTTATACTCAATATTCATGTTCTCAAATGTTCTTAGCTTGTTCTTCACACGTTCAGTGTTCATTCTTTGTATTCCCTATGTTCCTTATCATGTCTTCATATTCTCTATAAGTTCTTATTCCCTGCATGTTCACTCTATTCATCAACTTTTTCTTACCTGTTTCCTGTGTTCACCGTATGTTCACTGTGTTCATTCCCTTACTTAACCTCAATTTTTTTATGTTCTTTGTTTCTTCCATTCACTAACTAGTTCTTTGTCAAATATTAGCATCAGCAATACAGTTTCCTCAACAATTTTAGTCACCAAGTTTTTATTTGCAAAAACTATGTCAAAGTAATTCTCGTAGTCAACTTAATAGTTCTACCAGCCATGTTCTTAAACAAATCTACACTTTATTCAGTTCCAAATTTACAAAGACAAACCTTTCTTGTAACTTCTTAACTAAAAATCTTTCGCCAATCAACTGAAACATAGTCACTTTCCTCATTTCTCAACTAACTTATTATCCAGTCAACCAAAAATTGTCAAAGGAATCTTTCCAACACTGTTCATAACTAAACTTATTCCCTAGTCATCAGAAAATAACCGTGTTCTTCATGTTTCATTGTCATTTCTTATCTAAAAATTATCCGCCAATCATCAGAAAAAGTCATGTTCATCATGTTTTGTCTTTTGCTCAACTAAAAGTATTCATCGGTCAACTAAAAATAGTCTCGTTCATCATTTCGTAACAACCATTATGTTTTCGTCAAATAAGAAAATATAGTCACAGATATCTATCATCGTCATTCTTAACTGACATTTTATACTTTGTTGAGCACTAAAATAGCCACTTTCGTCATGTCTTGTCTTTTTCCATAACTAAAAGTATTCATCGGTCAACTAAAAAATAGTTACTTCATCATGTTTCCTTGTCATTTCTTAACTGAAATATCACTTCTCTCATTTTAAAATAGTCAGAAATAGCCTCGTTCAACACTGTTCTTAACTAAAGTAACCTTTCACTTCGCTAGAATAGTCATATTCATCGTTGTTCCTAACTAAATTATATGTCGTTAAGTAAGAAATATAGTCAAAGACACTCTTCGAGACATCAAGGACTTACTCAAAGACATCAAAGTTGCACTCAAAGACATCCTTTTCATTCATCAGAGAAACTTTCTAAGACGTCTTTGTTCATTAAAGTTAATCTCTTGTCCACAAAGTTATTCTGAGCTATCAAACTTGTTCTCAAAGACATCAAATGTTATTCACAGAGTCATCAAAGTTATTTTGTAACTCACTTTGTCCACAAAGTTATTCTGAGCTATCAAACTTGTTCTCAAAGTCATCAAATGTTATTCACAGAGTCATCAAAGTTATTTTGTAACTCACTTTGTTCATAAAAGTTATTCTCAGTCATGTTATGTTATTCTCTAACTCACTTCCATTCATCAAAGACATTCTCTAACTCCTCAAAGTTAATCTCTAAGACAACAAAGTCTTTCTCAGAGCTAACAAACTTGTTCTCAAAGTCATCAAAGTTATTCTAAGACATCATCTTTCATCAAAGATATTCTCTCTAAGTCATCAAAGTTACTTTTCATTACATCAAAGACGCATTCAAATACTACCCATGTTCTCAGAAGTCATTCTCAAAGGCACCAAAGTTATTCAAAGAGCTAACAAAAGTTATTCTCAGAGTCACCTTCGTTCTTCAGAGAAACTTTCCAAAACATCTTTGTTCATCAAAGTTATTCTCAGAGTTAACAAAGGTAATCTCTAACTCACTCTCAGTCATCAAAGTTAATCCAAGAGACGTCAAAGTTAATCCAAGACATCATCTTTCATCAAAGATATTCTCTCTAAGCCATCAATGTTCTTCTCTAAGACATAAAAGTTATTCTCAGAGTCACCTTCGTTCGTCAGAGAAACTTTCAAAACATCTTTGTTCATCAAACTTGTTTTCAAAGTCATCAAAAGTTAATCTAAGACATCTTCTTTCATCAAAGTTATTTTCAGAGACATCTAAAGTTATTCTCAGAGCTATCAAACTTGTTCTCAGAGTCATCAAATGTTATTCTCGAAGTCATCAAAGTTATTTTCAGAGACATCTAAAGTTAATTTCTATGTTATAAAGTTATTCTCAGAGACATCTAAAGTTAATCTTGGTCATCAAAGTTGTTCTCTAAACATCAATGTTGTTCTCCAAGACATCAAAGATGTTCTCAAAATCATAAAAGTTATTCCCAGAGCTATCAA